AAAGTGACAGAGAGTTTCACATTTTGTGCATTTCTCAGTCACTTTGCAGCATGGAGACATCCTCACTCTTCTCCTTCAATCTTCTTATGAACCTCGCGGCTCTTCACCCGGAGCTTATTGACCTGGGACTCTGCAATGTCAGCCCGCTCCTCAGCCTCTTCCAGCTCGTGCTGGATCTTGCGGAACTTGGTGAGGTTGACATTGGATAGTTCCTCCTGAGGATGGAGAAAGAGAGTTGTAAACCAAAGGTCTGAGGATTCCCCTTTCCCTGCATTTGGGACTTAATAGGATGTGCTTGTTTGCTGAGGGGACAGGGACAGCCCAGACTGTTACCCACTTACCATTTCATATCTCAAATCTAAGCACAGACCTTCTCACTCTTGTCCTTTTCTAATTTTTTTTAAAAATCATTAAAAACTAATTGAAAATAGATTTCTAAACATTTTGGAGTGATTTTTCTTTAGGTTTATACATTTATTTATAACTCCTTTTTCCTAATCAGGCCACATTAATGCAGTAGTATATGTTATTTTAAATATAGATACATGACACTTATTTGTTACCAACAATAGGCTTGGTGATAGATACAGAAATGAAAGCATCCAATTTAGGAAAGTGACAGCATTCTAGTTTGTAAGTCTTTCAGGTCAGCAATTTCACAGGCTTAGAGTTCAGGGTTAGACAATCAGAAATTATTCTTCCTCATAACAAAAAACTTAGGACACACCCAGCTTCTACCAACTGTAATGAGTTGCCCTATTCAAAGGGAGAGGGGAAGAAGATGGCATTAAATTAATGGAGCTTGTACAGTGTGAGAGGCTCTCTAACCCTATCACACAGGATGGAATTGAGCAAGAGATGTACATTTTAACTGTGCGTGTGCATGTATTATATAGAAAGACAATGCTAGTAGTTTAATTGTAATGTGAATTTATTGTAAGGGGGTTTCTCCACTCCATGAGTACAGAAATCCTCACCATGGGCATGGAGTAACCACAAACTGGCAGGGCTGGTGTCAATCTGCCAGTGGGGCTGGGCCCTGCTGGTTGGCATGAGCACATCCCTTCCTCGGAAGGCTTTCTCTTGGGATTGGGGGTCAGTGGCCCTTTTCGATGGTTCCCCAAAAACGAGGAGATGGGGAATGCAGCCGGACACCCGCTGAAGCCAGTGGGCTGGGAGCAGAGAGGCCATCAGGTCCCCCAGAAGTGCCCTGCGGTCAGGGGGAACTGGGACCTGGGGGTAGGTGTGAGACATGGTAGAGACAGCAGCACATCAACATGGGTCATGGGACATCATACCAAGAAGGGTAGAGGCAAGACATGGGGTAAATAGGGGTAGGGCCATATGGGGGCAGCATATGGGGTTAACAGTGAGACAGCAGTACATTGGGAGAGAGGCAGCAAATGGGTGAACAAACTCTGTATACATCAGCAATCTGTATCAGTTAGTCACCAAAACCATGGTCACGGTCATAGCAAAAGCTATTGAGAAGTCAAATCAGCATGATCAAAATGGCCACCTGAGTTTAATCACTCTCCTCCTCTTCTCCTCCCACCCCAGCTAAATTTAAAAGAATCAGTGGAGTTCTATTTAATATAATGAGCAGAGGGATGCTACTCTTCCCTTTGGTGAAGAGATCCCTGGGAAGGACTTGGAAAACACCAATATCATTTTAAGACCATTATATGTGCATCTGTTTGGTTGTTTTTGTGTTGGTTGCTATATGATTACTAAAGGGTTAAACCAGGCATAGCTCACATGTAAGCAGGACGGGAGACAAGAGTTTCAGCACCATTCACCAGTACTTAAAGCAGGTGTCAGAAGTTTCCCTCTGACCATGCTGAGTTCAACATCCTGGCTTGGTACAGGGAGTGGGTAACCCAGACAGGAAACTGAGGCAACAGGGCTTAGGAGTGGGGAAAAAACTGAGCAACTGCAGTGCAGGGAGAGAGGGTGTCATGAGGATTGTGGGAAATCAGGCTGTGCCCACCCCCATGCCTAGAAAAGGGGGTGTCTGGATAAGCTAAGCCTTCCTACGTTTTGGGTAACATAGCTTTGCGAGTAGACTGTTGTGTTAATAACCATTTGCTCTTGTTACTTTGTGTTCCTTCTGCTGAGATTAAACAATATATTGTTTTGAAAAGGCTGTTTTATATCCAGGGGCGGCTCTAGCTTTTTTGCCGCCCCAAGCACGGCAGGCAGGCAGCTTTCGGCGGCATGATTGCGAGAGGTCCCCGGTCCCGCGGCTTCGGCGTACCCGCCGCCGAATTGCCGCCAAATCCGTGGGACCGGTGGACCTCCCGCAGGCATGCCGCCGAAGGCTGCCTGACTGCCGCCCTCACAGGGACAGGCAGGGTGCCCCCCGCGGCTTGCCGCCCCAGGCACGTGCTTGGAGCGCTAGTGCCTGGAGCCGCCGCTATTTATATCCTTTGTGTTTGCACCGGTCACAGCTCCTGAAGAAAAGATTTGCAAGGCAGCTGACTGGGTCAGGCCTGATGAAGAATCTCAGTTGGTTGCAGTACTGTACCCTGGGACCCAGTCTGGGAGCAGGAGAAATTTGCAATTCTGCTGCAGAAAGGTGAAGTTTCAAGGCTTGTCACCCAAGGGGGTTGCACTTAGACAGACGAAAAGGGGTCAAAGGTGCAGTTAGTCCTGAACTGTGACAGTCCGACAGCTGTGACATCCCAGAAGATTCCAAACCAGCCTATCAGAACGTAAGTATAAACTAAAAAAAAAATCCATATCCCCACTGGCCACCTCATGCATTTCAAGTAAAAGAGGTAAAATAGCTGCTTCCTCATCTCTCAATTCTACATGATTTGTAGTAGCAAACAGAGCCTGCATCTCCAACCATGTCTAAGTGACATATGCAGATCCAGGTAGCGTGTCACTATAGAATTATGAAAACTGTCAAACTTAATGAGATCTTTTATTACCCTACCAAAAAGTGACAGAGAAACAGTCAGAGTTCCTCACTAAGCTCTGCACACGTAAGTATCTGTTAATGAGAGCCAAACATTTTTACCAAAGGAGACTTAGAAAAGGTGTATTATAATATCCCCAAAACATTCTGCAATATCAAAGGATGCATATCGTCCCTCCTCAGAATGATACTTACAGATTCCTCAGCTTGTCTCTTGTAAGCTTTCACTTTCAGTTGTAGTTTGTCTACCAGATCCTGGAGCCTGAAAACATTCTTGCGGTCTTCCTCAGTCTAGAAACAGTTTGTAGTGGAAAAGAGTAATTTCATTACCAAATTATTTGTCTATTTCCTTCATATTATACAGTGAAAGCAACGTTGCATATAAATATTTTGGTAGGTATATAAGATAGATAATAAAGATTATAACGGATATTTTAACATTCTCTTTCAAATGATTTCCTGGTGAACTCTTTGTTTTTCCATAGTATTACTGTTCACTGTCTTACTGTTTGAGAAGGACAATAAAAACTCCCCCATGCAGGTTCAGGTACAAAGAACTTGTGCTCCTAGGAGAAGGATGTGACAGCACAAAGGGTCTCCCTCCTTACCTGATAGGTCAGTTCCTTTACTCTTCTCTCATACTTGCGCATACCCTTGATAGCATCAGCGCTGCGTTTCTGCTCATTGTCAACCTCACCTTCCAGCTCACGCACCTGAAATGAGAAATGGATTGTTGAGTTTCACTGTGACAGGACATAGGAAATGCTCCTAAATGCACAAATATGGGGAATACGCACTCTGGCCTCAAGTTTCTGGATATGCTTCTTGCCACCCTTCAGTGCCAGCTGCTCTGCCTCATCCAGACGGAGCTGCAGATCCTTCACCGTCTGGTCCAGGTTCTTCTTCATCCTCTCCAGGTGGGCGCTGGTGTCCTGCTCCTTCTTCAGCTCCTCCGCCATCATGGCCGCCTAGGGAGTAAAGAAAGGAAACCGGTCCAGAAAAACAACCATTTCAGGTGCAAACACAGCCATATTCTCCAAAGAAAGGTGCCTTCAACTCACATCAGTGATTGCCTTCTTGGCCTTCTCTTCTGCATTACGTGCTTCCTGAATTGTCTCCTCCATTTCACTCTGGATTTGGGAAATGTCTGTTTCCAGCTTCTTCTTCGTGTTGATCAGGCTGGTGTTCTGTTTAACAACAACAGACAAGTTGTGTTTACAGTTAGTCCCAAAATATTGACTCTGGAACATGAACTGAATATTTGTACTTAAGGTACAGGTTACTATTAAAATGTTGTAAAACAGAACTCTCCTCTAAATGAATTATCACTGCAGAACATTGGCAGATAGTCAGTGACGTGCTGTGAATATTTTGAGATAGAGTTCTCAAAAACATTATCCCTCCCCGCCCAGTCTGTGACAAACCCTGTATACCAAGGCTGTGTGCTTGCAGGAAGGACAGAAGTAGTGAGTGAATAAATACTATATTAATGCAAAGAAAAATCTTTCTCATTGCCTTAATAAAGGTAGCAGTAAGGAGTACTTAGCAAACAAACACAGAAAGCACCTCACACACATGTTTGATATATATTGCTGTGTATTGACAATTTAGTGTAGCTCACACTTCAATGTGTGTCATTACAGAAGGGTACAATGGGAAGATCATCTTTTAATGTCTAGTGGTGATATCATCCCTTGTGAAAATAGGTTGGAAATAGTGGTGCAATCTGGTCAACTCCAAAAGCAAAATAATTGCTCTTTAGAAACACTTTCTGAGCCCAAATATCATCTCTGGGAAAGATGATTTAACAGTATCCATCAACAGAAACTACATCTGAGGCAGGAAACCCACCAGCTCTCCCTTCAGACTGGTTCAGAATGATTCCAAAAGGCTACCTGAGGCCCCTGATATCCCCCTCCATCACTCAACTTCAAGTATTGCTATAATTGCCTCTGACCTTCACAACCCCCATGTAGCCTTCAACACGGACTTGCCGTTTTCTGCTTCCATTTCAGCAATGGTCCATCCTACTGAATATTACCACAATACTCACTTCAGAAAAGGTCTTTACTGCTTCTTAACACTGCCTAACTCTGCTCTTTGAAGAATATGCTGTGAATATTTTAAGAGCTCTCACAAACATTACCCCCATAACCTGTGACAAACCCTATGTGCCAATTGTTGTAAATCTGGTCCATTCCAAAACAAAATAATCACTGTGTAGAAATATTTCCTGAGCCCCAGGGGATGTCAGAGATGACTTAAAAGTATCCAATGATGGAAACTGGATAGGAGGCAGGAAAGCCACTCCCAGAGCCTCTGAGACACTTGCCCCCCTCCATCACGTCACTGCAATTATAACCTTCGTCATCCCTGTGTCACCTTCAACACAGCAACATGAGGAAAAACAAGGATGGCCTTGCAGCTTCTTGCTTTCTGTTTAACAAACGTCCAGCCTATGGACATTAGCATAAAGGCCATTTCAGGAACAAAAATCTTCTAAACACCCCCTAGCGTTGCTCTTTGGAGCAGGGAACGTACAGAGCAGTCTCCTGCATAGGGGTTTGTGGGATTTCTTTTCACACTAGACCCTGACCTGGGTGTGCAGGAGCTGCACTCGTTCACTTGCATCCAGAAGCTCCTGTTCAGCCACTTTCCTGGCCCTCTCTGTCTGTTCCAGAGCTGACCTCAGCTCCTCAATTTCAGCCTGCATCAGGTTAGCTCTGCGCTCAACCATGGCCACCTGCTCCTTCAGGTCTTCTTGGCTTCGGAGAGCATCATCCAAGTGTATCTGGGTATCCTGTAAAATGAGTGAGAGAAATTAGCTGGAGGCGCAGACTCCGTGGCATGCTGAAAAGACCAGCTGAGCTATCGCACTAGGCATGTGTGGCTTACTGTACCTTGAGCACTCCTTGTGTGTTTCGCAGGTTCTTCTGTGCCTCTGCAGCCAGGCGGCTGGCATGGCTCAGCTGGATCTCCATTTCATTCAGATCGCCCTCCATCTTCTTCTTTAGCCTAATGGCTTCGTTTCTGCTCCTGATCTCAGAATCCAGGGTGCTCTGCATGGACTCCACAACTCTGATATGGTTCCTCTTCAGCTGATCAATTTCCTCATCTTTCTCAGCAAGCTTCCTGTCAATTTCAGACTTTACCTGGTTCAGCTCAAGTTGGATGCGGAGGATTTTGCCCTCTTCATGTTCTAGTGAAGCCTTAACAAGAGCAAGTGAAGGATCAATAAAGGGACAAAAATAGTTTTTTCCTTCCAAATAAAGTGTTAAATGCTCCCATAGACTGGAATGTAGTGCTGTGGGTAGCATGGGCACTGAGTACATAGCTTCTAGCACAGCATGTGCTGTCCTCCTGTCCCTGTGAATTATCCCACCGTGTTTACAATAGGATACAGCTCCAAGGTTTTCTGACTATCTCTCTGTAAAGCAGTGACTAATGGCGTGCGTACCTCAGCTTCCTCCAGAGCAGACTGGATTTCTGATTTCTCTTGCTCAATTTGCTTCTTCACTTTCTCCAGCTCATGGATGGTCTTTCCGCCTTCTGCAATCTGCTCCGTAAGGTCAGAAATCTCCTCTGTTGGGTTACAGACATAACATAGTCAGACAAAGGGCCCAAAGAGAGAGAGGCTCCTTAGCAATGCCACAGGCACAGACAGATTCACTTTAGAGTGTTGACAAGCTTTCCAGAAGCCCCATGTTAGGAGAAGAAATCCGGGGACTTACGCTGCAAGTTCTTGTTCTCACGCTTCAGAGTTTCAAGTTGATCCAAAGTTTCCTCATAAGCATTCTTCATCTTAAACAGCTCCGTGCTGAGAGAGCGAGACTCTTTCTGGGAAGCTTCCAGTTCAGCCTGCGTTTCCTCGTATTTCTGCTTCCATTCTGACAGAACCTGAAGAACAACAAGACCTTAGTCTAAGCAACGGAGATCACTAGAGGGTGCTCCATCCAACACCCACAAGGCTGAAATACCTTATCAAAATTCTTCTGCTTCTTATCCAGAGCTGCGCAGGCAGCATTAGATCTTTCCACATCAATCATCAGGTCCTCCACTTCATTCTGCAGCCTCTGCTTCGTCTTTTCAAGGGAAGCACATTTGGAATTCACAGCTTC